GTCTCCGGGGACCCACCTGGGTATCTCCTGGCCCACAGAGTTCTGCCGGCACTCCTCCATCCAGGCGGCCAGCGCGCTGAAGCTGGCCGGGCGGCTGACGTCGTACACGAAGAGCACGGCGTGCACGTTCCGGTAGTAGTGCTGCACCATGGACTTCCGGAAACGCTCCTGTCCCGCCGTGTCCCACAGCTGGAGCTGGAGGGGGAAAGAGATGGTGTTGAAATCCCTCAAAGCAGGCAGAAGCACGCAAACCGAGAAAAACGCCGAGTCATCTCTGAGAGGGAACCAACAGAAGGAAATAAACACATTTCCATAGATAGACAGTTACATTTCCTTTAACCAAGACACGTTTGAAACTATTCGGATAAAAAACAGGCTGGAGGAGACGGTTTTTAACCTGATTCTGTTGATTAAATAAACATGGTGACGGAGGAAAATGGACCAAAAAGGGGCAACATTCCCTTCACTTGTTTGTGGAGATCAATTCTTTTCTATGTTGGGTCAATTAAAAGTATACATTTAATTTTTGGCTAGTAGGAAACTCTCCAGAGCTTTAAACAAACAGTTTCAGCTTTAAATAAAACCTTCAAATGAGCTTTGTTGAGAAAATCTTTGACTCTGAAAGTTTTTTTAATTTAATTTGAAAGAAATTTAAATGAGGGAAGCTCAAAGTTCTTTTTTTGGTTGGTCAGTAAACGCACCATGAACAGACATAAACAAGTACATAATGATATTTTATCTCCATAAAAAAGGAAAGTTCATTGTTCAGCTTGGCTGGAAATGTGTGATGATTAGAGGTTTTGGTGTTCAAGTGAAAAGAGTCCACTGAAAGGCTTCAGTTTTTACTCCCAGGAGTTTAAATCTGACACTTCTCAGATGTTTTGTTCTTTCAGACAGGCAACCCCAGATAAAGTGCTTCAGGATTCAGTTCTGGGGGCCCTTGTTGTGGTTGTGCATCCCCAAACAGGAAGAGAGGCCCATCTCTGAAAAGATTCATTATTATTATGGACTTTTGGTATTTTTTGACACTACTAAATGTTCACTTTAAGTCAGAATTTTACAGAATTGGTTAAAATTTGATCTCTAGATCTTTTTACCAAATTTTTCTGGACTCGTCTTCCATCTTTCGACAGGCTCAAACTTTTTCCTGAATAACCTAAAGATTGGTGGCTGGCCTCTAAAATGTGATTATCACTCAATCTTGAATTTTTAGACTTAATATCCCCACAAAAAAACTGAGCAGAAAAGTTATATAAACGACCCCAGTCATTTTACATTATCATTTAATGTTATTTCATCTATAACATGATGGGGGGGGGGGGGACCTGCTGACCCAACCTCAACACACCAGATCTGATCAACGTCCCCTTTCAGGACTTAATCTTTGGAACAGATCCGTTTGAGTTGAATCTGCCCCCGTGAGTCCTTAAAGGCGTCAGCAGACACAAATCAGACAACAATCTCAGTTTGGTTTGCTTCTCTGTTTAAAACCTGAGCAGAGGCTCCCTCCTAACCCTAACCCTCAGAAATCACAGCTGCGCCCTGGAGAAATCACGCCGGGACGGACCCTGAACGTCTCACGGCGCTTTACGAGCTGCAACCCAGCAGATGTGCTGGTTTTCCGCCAATCAGTCCCACACAAACAGCCAACCAAGAGTCCCTGAACGCACCAGATTAGCCAGAAAACACCAGAAATTAAAGAGGAGTTTGCGGGATCCTGGTTTAATCAACTTTTCTGGCTGCGGAGGAACCACAGGCTGTGCGTAAAACGGCCCCCCCGGTGCCCGGTTCCCGGTTCTCTGATGCCAAAAGCAGCCTCTCACCTTAATCCTCTCTCCATCCACGTCCAGCGCTCTCTCGCGGAAGTCCACGCCGATGGTGGCCTCCACCCTGGCGGGGAAGTGTCCGGCGCACAGCCGGTGCGTGAGGCAGGTCTTGCCCACGCCGGAGTCCCCGATCACGAGCACTTTGAAGGTCCGGCAGCGGGTCAGGAGGGAGGACGCGCTCCCAAAGGAGCCGGAAAACTCCAGGGAGGACTCCATCTGACAGGGAACGAGCCGGTGGGGGCGCGTGGGGGGGGCGCGCGTGGCTCCGTTTAAAAGACGCGGACACGCGTGGGTGTGCAGAGGAGAAGTTGGCCTCGCTCAACAGCGCGTGGGGTTTGGCGGCATGCTGAGGAGCCTGGGGGTG